CTTATTTTTGGAATACTCAGTAGGTACTTTTCTCCACAAGACCTCCTCACTCTGTACAAGCATTGCTCACATTTTTGGGGTGCTGCAGCCCCGACTACATCATCCATGCTCCAAGTTTTTTAGAGGAGGACTGCCCGACTGGTCGATGACTATTTTCTGACGGACTGTCTCGGGACCCTTTCGTACCGGCGGACCGTCGACGATCTAACTCTCTTATACGACCACTCCTTTGTCCATAGGGTATCGAGATTGTGGAACAATCTTCATGAGAAGGCTTCTCTCAGTTCTACTATTATGCCATATTCCAAAGGAAGCGATGCTTTGAAAGTTTCTGATAACATTGATGAATTTACTAACTACACCACGTTTCACGCAGATTTGAAATTCATATAGCATCAACCTGTATAGTCTTACCCATGAATTAAGTTATCGTCAGCCACCCTGTAAGCAGGATATAATAACTTTTAGTATCTGAGCAATCCCCGTGGAGCATAAAGGAACATCCCCACTAATTACCTCGGCAAATCCGTTAATGAATCTACCGCTTTATAACGATTTTCGCTCTCATTAAAATGGTCGCGGCAGCGTCGCGGCGAAAGCGGCAAAAGCTTCGTCGTCACAGCGCAGTGGCGTCGCAAGACGTCCTGGAGATAGTTCATAACGGATTATGTTCTTCATGAGGAAACGAATATGAATTACAAAATCATTACATGCACCAAGCCAGCCAAACAGGCCAATACAATTAGTCCATAGATCCCACTCTTTTGATATCGCTTTATATTTATTCTCTGTCCTACCTAAAGCATCGACCATGTGGCAACGATGCTGAACCACACCAATCCACTATACCAGCGTCAGCCGTGATATTACTCGGGGTCGAGAGCGCCAGCGATGCAATCAGATACAGACATTGGTTGGTGTAGGATCAACCGGGGCAGCGTCTGTAAATTCTGTAAACATATTAAAGGCAGAACATTAAGATATACTCTCCCTCAGCCACTACCACCCCCACCCCAATTCTTAACAGCTACAAAACATTTTTTGGAAATGGTCAGGAGCCTCTGGGACGTCAAAAAACAAATTTTAAGCGATTTTTATATTCTTCGTCTCTTGCCCCTCGCTTGCCGCCACTGGACCGATTTTCAAAAGCTACAAAGCTTTTCTGTAATCTAGTGTGAAAGTTTCATCAAAAACCAAGGCGCAGGGGTATTACGTATCTTGAAAAGTGACATTATGTGGATTCTTTTAAACATTATAGAGAATCTGGTTGGTGAAGTATATTATAAACAACACGCTACATATAGGCATATTTATGAGACGTATTTCCAGTGACTTAAATCATAATTTATAGCTTTGAACATAACCTCTCTTCCGAAACGGCAACACATGAATAACCCTTCTGCTACAGTTCATAGATATACATCATGAGCAGCATATTCAGTAATAATTTTCTCACATAGTAAATATCACTGATTTTACATACATACAGACCAATACACAGATCATTCAATCATCTAGATGCGATCTTGCTCCTCAAACAATTTTCTTTCAGTTACATCTTCTCAGATATATACTGACTATCTCGGCATTCTGCAACCAACAAGGCATGTTGGGGAACTGACTTGCAGCTTGGTCATTGAGCGTATCGTTGAGTTATTCCTCCATATATGACATCACAGCAGAATGAACTATATGCACACTAGGAACTATCTAGTCAGCAAGTTGACATTTTGTCGGTTTTTTGGCATTATATAGGTTTTTTTGTAATAACCCTGCTGTACTCCCCAGGATCAGTGGACCGACAGACGGAAATCAGTGTCTTGGTTTTTCGCGATGTAACTGTCACCCGTCCAAAAGCAACAATATCTTATTTTCGTTTTCTTTTTTGATTACTGTATTTCTCCGCCAATGATGTGGGAAGTAAAGAAGAGCTAACATGGACGTGAAACTTTTTATAGGATATAGAATTCCATATTCCTATCAATGAACCAGCTACTAGAATTCTTAGATCTGACATCGCCACTGTAAACTATAATATAGACATTTTCAGTTGCAATATTAAGGGCGGATTGCACAAACAATAATATTTGACGGTCACCTGGACCAATGGGAAAGGACCTTATCTAAATGCAATTTGACGGAAGCTGTCAAAGCTCTCTGAATATCAGTGATTTCTATTGAAATATTGAATAAAATCGTGAAAAAAAAAAAACAAGAACACTTCTTGGTTCCAATATGATGCTTTTGTACAGAGAAAACAGGACAACTTTCATGTTTTTTGATTTCTCTTACAAACCGTTATCCACTTAGCACTAATTTCAAATGTCAATTCCGACCTTCTTTGGTCTATTCTCCTTCTTCAACGTCACTGCAGTCTATGTTTTGTGGTGACTTGTTGTGTTGTGGAAAATGGAATTTTGGAAGACTAAATTTCCGTATAAAAATGCTCCCTCCAGAATTTCTTTTGTGCAGAATTACATAATACACTGTCGAATACACGTTAAATCTGCAATAACCCCCAAATACGTGGTAATATTGAGTGTACTATGTACCATCACCGATGGTGCGACTGATTATACACTGAAATCAAAACAAAAAACTGCATCTGCATTTGTATGTATGAATGTTGAAAATCTTGAACAGTTTCGAACCAGTGGTATTAAAATGTCGTTGAGGAACTAGAAAGAAGTGTATGAATGTGTTGAAACACAACACCTAACAAAAGTTTGAGTGAAAAGGCTTTTTCATGTAAGGGTTTGGAAGCGCAAGTTTGCAAATGTAGGATAAACTATAAACACACGGTAGGTGATGTTAAGTTAACATAATCACAGATGGATTACAAAAGTTGCGATAAACATGGAGAAACACTCAGCTAAACTGGAAAAAATGGACTCAGAAATCGAGCATTTTTTTTTAAATTTTGGCTCAGTTTTATATAATTTCATAATATTTAATAAACTGAAAACATTTCAATATCAAGCTGTCACTTCATATTTTACAGTGTTTTGTTTTGAATACTTTGATGGTATTTGCTGCCAAAAATTTCTCGGTGAGATCTTGAGGCTGATGGGTATATTTGACGGACTGTTTGGTACTCGTAGTCTATTGGTGCAAAACAATGGTTTGTTTAATTGTGAAATCCATCCTAAGCATATCAAAAAGCACATGAAAAACGTTTCCATATAACTTTAGTTTGCTAGGTTTTAAATATAAATGGGTTGGGTATCACATGAATCTTTAGTTCTTCTTCAGTCTAATAATTTATATAAAACTACTGTAATCTGTCACATAAACGTAATTTTTTTCTTATGTAATGGGAAACCGTAAATAAATAAATATACTGAGCGAACCACATCGTAACACATATTATTTTTGCCCTACAGTGCGAAGTACACTCGATTGGCTACTTGAATATCTTCTAGATAGAAAAAAATGTACGAAGATGTATTGGTTTGTCACTTTGGTAGGCAAATTAACCAAATGTATTCACTAAAACGCAAAGTAAACATATCGGCTTGGCTACTTCTAATCTCTTCGAATTCGGTGTGTGCCTTACGAGCTCTGTAAATTAAGTGATGAGACTGGCAACGTGGCGTCCGATCTGGCAACACTGGAAGCGCCGAGATTGAAGGGCGGACAGGGGAACAGTACAAGTTTAAAATCCTTCGAGTCATTTGGTTGTCCGTAGTGCCTTTTCGGTGAAACAGTGTTTTCTATTGTATGCCAAAAATTAGTGTCGTCGATTTCGAGCAACGGTGTGCTATCCAGTTTTGTCTTAGACTTGGGCACAATATAAAAGAAACTCTTGCTTAACTTCGGGCCTACGAAGGTGGTGTTTTGTCAGGAGTTCAGGTTTTTAGGTAGTTTAAGGCATTTTCAGAAGGGAGAGAGTCGATTGAAGATGAACCACAAAGCGGAAGGCCTTCATCTTCAAGAACCGATGAAAATATCGACAGAATCTGGGATCTGCGTTCAGATAGTCGGTTGACAGTCAGAATGATCGGGGAGGGGTTAAAGAGTAGAAACATTCCTGTGGCTCTTCAGCCTCTTTATTCGCCTGAAATGAGTCCTTGTGACTTTTTTCTCCTCACGAAGTTGAAAAATCACCTCAAAGGTTTTGGGACAGTCTAAGACGTTCAAACGTTCCATCACTGCCATGAGGAGTAGAAGAACCGTCTTCAACGCTATATGGTTTCAGAAGGAAGTTATTTTGAGGGTGGCTTTATAAAGTTGTAATTATATTTGAACAATAAACCTAAAAAAAAAATCAGTCTCATCACTTAATTTACAGACTTCGTATGTACTCGTACGTTGGTTATTTACCAATAACCCCCGACAAAACCTGTTGCACGCCATTGTGGATTACAGCGTTCCCTTGCTTAGTTGCTCTGTCAAATTCGGTAACAAAATGCTCCCTGCGGAGTCGCTTTGTCGCTTACAATTTCCGGCAAAATGGCGGCTGTGCGGCGAGTGCGCGGCTCGTAATACGAGACTACACGCCAACAAGGAACGGTAACCGCAGTACGGAGCGCAGAGTCGAGATGATGAAAAGATACGGTTATTGCCGTTAACAGCCGAAATGCCGGTCCCCAATCAACCAATCGCATGGATGTTCCGCTTCAGAGGCGTTGGCTTAAAAATGAACAGGTTTCAGAAAGTGGTGTTAAGTAGGTTGACTCTGACAGGCGAACAACAAACGCTAACCGCAAGCAGGTATAAAATGATACGGTTGTTGCTGTTAGCAGTCGAAATGGCGGTTCAAACTCATCAAATAGCACGGATGTTCGGTTTCGGAGGCGTTGCTTGGAATTGAATCAGGTTCCAGAAAGTGGTGTCAAGTAGGTTGACTATGAAACATACGCCAACGAAAACGGTATCCACAAGCAGAAGTGAAAACATGCTGTTGTAACTATTAACCCTCCGTCGCTCGAGCCTCATTCTATTACACCATCGCTCGCGTGCTAGATTTTATCTAACATTCAGATGTTCAATAAAAAAGCTATTTTTACTTGAATTAAATGTTTATATTGTCAAGTATACTATTAAGCTATACATTAGTGGAAAATTATTGTTATAAACGATAACAAAAATACTAACGAAACACTGAAAATTCTTCATCTAAAATTTCTGAACTGAAGGTTTCTTCTTCTGATGTTTCATTCTGGAATCCTCTAGAGCTGAAGGAAACCCTAAAAAAATAAATGCAGGGTATATATTGAAAGCGTTTACATAAATGCTTTACAAAACACTTACGCACTTTAAACATTCTCGTTACGTCCATAGCATTCACGACAGGTCAATGAAGTTATTGCTGTATGTTCCTTGCATATCGGTGATCTACAGATTGAACAATTTCTCTGAGTGAACCTGTTTTTTCTCAATGGACAGAAGTCACATTTCACTTTGGCTTGAGTGGCTTGGTCTCTACTTGGGGTAGGTCTTTCTCCAGTTATGTGTCTAATCTTTTGACTAATTAGATAAGGCAGACTTGGAATCTGAGAACGTCTGTATAGGTGAGGCATGACAAGCAATTTACTAAGTTCCGATATAAATTGTCTTCTGGTAGTAATATTGTTTGTGTTCTCTCGATAGATTATTTGGCTGTTGATGGTTGATATATTCAGAAGCACACAGAATGCGGTATATGGCCATCTATTACTGAATCGTGCTGTTGAATATTCGAATTTCATTTTGTCGACCACATCTACGCCTCCTTTCGTAAGATTATAGTCTGTAATAACTTCGGGCTTGAAAGCATCTCCAGTGTGATCGGCGATCTTACCATGATCATGCAGGGTTGATAATAACAGCACGTTTTTGTTTCGCTTTGGTACTTATGAAACAAGAAGGCACTTATTGGGGTTTTCATCCGAGTCTTCACCATATGCAAACAGGCTGCTTTTTACTAGACTATTTTTCACATCTAGAAGTTCTCGAGGAATTTGAGGCTTATTTTTGCGCATTGTTCCTATTGTAGTTAGTCGATGGTTTACTAATAAGCTATTAGCCAATGGCACTGAGGTGAAATAATTGTCAGTGGTTACATTTTTTCCTGTACCACTAATTGGCTCTATAAGTCGCAATACAAAACTCGCTGCGTCATTTTTTAGTTGAAATGGTCCCTCTGGTTGTTTACCCGCGTAGATTTCAAGATTTGATGTAAAAATGTTTTGGTGTCTACTAATCCATAGATCTTTATGCCGTATTTGTCGGGTTTGTTGGCTATGTATTGTCTAAATCGGCATCTGCCCCGAAATGCCTCCAACATTTCGTCAATTGTTACGTAAAATAATAAGCTTGTTTACAATTAGTTACGAATGTTTCAAAAAATTGGCGAATCGGAGTTAGATTATCAATTTTAGAAGTCTCATGTCGTTTGGTGGCATCATCAAATCTAATAGATTGCATCAACTGATGAAACCTTTTTTTGGACATAGTAGCGATAAAGAAGTCAGGTGCTTTACCATCGGTTTTCCACATTTCTTCAGTGTTGAGGTGTTGGGCTTTCTTTACGCAAGCCATATAAAGGATTCCAGTAAATGCTAGTATTTCGTCATAGTCAGTTGGAGGACAGTCTCGGGGGCGCTGATAAGATTCTCTCATCAAATCTAACTTCAGATTTGTATATTTTACAATATCATTTATCATCGTATCTGTAACAAACAACTTCCAGCAGTCTATAATGGTTTTTGCATTTTTTGCAAAACTTTTTACTCCAGGCAGTTTTGTAACACGATTATGGGCTTTTGTCTTGCCTTTGGGTGCAGGTGGTTTTTGTTTGAACCAAGGTGTTTTATCTTTTCCGTAAAATTTAGGTATACCATCAGTCAAGATCTCTGGAGGTTCAGGAAATATCCCAACTGTTTCATCTCCAGACTGTTCTGTATCTGTGTTATACTCATTATGCTCTGAAGGCTGATCGCTCAGATCATTATCGGAACCAACCAACTCTTCGTCAGTCTGAATCTCTTCATACCATTGCATCCACTGCTTTTGAATTTTTTCATCCATGGCTATACTGAAAAAAGATATTTGATAAGTTGAAAATAATTAATAAAACAATAAAACTTACCGAGCCACTAGTTATACCAAATTTACTAAGGATAGTTTATCCAGAAATCCGAAAACTTTACTCACGCCGTCACTTGCGTCGTTAGATTTTATCTAACCCGCGGCCGAACGCTATCACTCGCGTGCTAGACTGGAACTAACATATGCAATTGCGGCACTAGAACAAAATAGCTCCCCCCCACGACCACAGGTTCACATAGTAGATTAGTTTGAAGGAGTATTCCTAGATGGTGGGCCTGCTAAGCCGTGTAATTTCAAATTTATGAGAAAAATTTAAAAAATGTTAGATTTTTTCTAACGGTGCGAGCGATGGAGGGTTAACAGCCGAAACGCCGATCCCCAATCCTCCAATCGCACCGTTGTTGCGCTTGAATAGCTAATTGTAACCTCAAGCAGAGATGAAAATATACAGTTGTTGCCGTTAACAGCCGAAATGCCACCCTCAATCATCCTGTAATGGTATAACAATCATGTTATTGTAAGAAGTGAGTGATGTGAACTCTGGCGCGTAGTGTATAAATGTATAGCAAAACAGGAAAAGCTTAAGTATGCAATAGTTATGGTGTAAGCAGGAAATAGATTGAACTCGGACAATAAAGTGCATTCACTTTGAAGAAAACGTTATAAACTTTGCGACTTGACACCCATATCTCCAAGTATATCACATGATGATTCTACAAGGCCTTCAGAGTCAGATTCAGATGAAAGTCTTGTGAAAATAATTTTATTTTGAGATATAGGGTTCCTAAAGAAATTGGAACGGACAAAGACACCGAATTTCTATCCAAAATTTCCAGAGAAACATGTCAATTACTCGGGATTAAACAACTGAACAGCGTATCATCATCAAACGTTAGGCTCCCTGGAAAGCTCTCACAGATGTTTAGGCAATTATTTGAGAATTCAAGTTTCACAGTTTTCAAATTCCTGGAGCTCATGGGTAAGCTACTGATGCTTTTTCTACAATGCCACAGTCCACACAGAAACAAAGCATTCGCCATTTGAACTTATCTTTGGAAGCAAGTGAGACTTCCTAGACACATTGACCCACAAATTGACCCTATATACAATTTTGATCATTATCCCTTAGAAATGAAATATACTAAGTGACATATAAATCCGAACACCCAGTTTAAATGGTTTTATTTTAATAAAAGTTGGTGAATGTATTTATCTTAATGTAAATAACAAGTGAAAAAATTTTCAGCCTTATCTGTTGGACATTCCGGTTTTTATACTGCTTTTTTTAAATTCACTAACGCTCTAAAAATGATTATTTCAGCCGCAGTAAAGAATCAACGTTGGCGGATTTTGGTTCTTGACATCCTTTACGATCGGTTACGATGCCTAGAGTACGGAGACCTGTACGATTTCGTCAACTTAGTGAGTTTGATAGGGGCCGTATAGTGGGACTTTGGGAAGCTGGACTTTCTTTTCGGGCAATTGCAGTTAGAGTGCAAAGAAGTGTAGACACTGTGGTTAGGTGTTGTCAGGCATGGCTTCGAGAAGGCCGTACGTAAAGAGCAAGGGTCACTGGACGCCGCCGTAGAACAACATACCGTGAAGATCGCCGCCTAAGATTATTGGCCTTAAGGGACCGTTTCTCCACTACCAGGTCCATTGCAAATGAATGGTTTGTAGAACACGGAAGACCTATTGGCATGCGAAGTGTTTACCGACGAATGAGAAGTTTTGGCTTGTTTTCATACCGGCCACACTGGGTCTTCCCTTTAACTCGAGAACACCGACGTAATCGCCTTGAGTGGTGCAGACAACGGTCACTCTGGGATCAGGAATGGAACAGTATTGTCTTTAGTGACGAGTCTCGATTTTGTTTAGGCATGCACGATGGTCGTGCCAGGGTTAGAAGGCGACGTGGTGAAAGGAGGAATCCACAGTTTTTTTTTGAAAGACATGTTCATCACACTGTTGGAGTTATGGTTTGGAGTGCTATAGCTTATGCTTCCAGGTCACCTTTAATCTTCATCAGAGATAACATGAACGCGCAGCGTTATATCCACGAAGTTCGAGAACCCCATCTTTTACCCTATCTTGACACCCTGGCAGATCCAACTTTAGACTTCTTTCAACATAATGATGTCACATTGTTACCATGGCCATCAAGATCTCCCGACTTATCCCCAATTGAGCACGTGTGGGATATGATGGGTAGGAAATTGCTCAATTTGCAACGCCCTCCTCAGACTCTAGAAGCACTTGGAGAGGAGTTGGTGGTTGCCTGGAATGAGATACCACAGGAGGACATTGACCACCTGATCAGAAGCATGCCTAGGCGCGTTGGAGAATGCGTAGCACATCAGGGTGCATCCACACATTATTAAAGGTCAAAGGGCTTTAAAGCAGTGCAATCATTTTGAAATTTTTATCATTTACTTATTATGCTTCATTAAGTACTTATACAAAATTTTATTAAAATAAAACCATTTAAACTGGGTGTATGTCACTTAGTATATGTATAGGTTACAAATTGCATGTAATGATACCAGTAATAATTTGATATTATCAAAGATTAACTGGAAATATACGATACAAAGACGAATCCCTATAAATATACGAAAAAGTGTTTAGTGTTAATCAAATCCGAAGTAGATAACAAGTTATAGCCAATTTATAAAGGACCTTATAGAGTGGAAAGTGAGTGCTCGTCTAATGTATTAGTCGATTTAGGTAACGGATGTTTAAGTAACATTCATAAGAATAAAGATATACCTAATAATTTGAGCTTAATTTTTTTTCTCGTTTCGCTGGCAAGTGTAATGATATAATAATAATATAGCCACTTAAGTGGAATTTGGCGCTTAGTCTACAAGTGTATAGCAAAACAGGAAACGCTTAAGTCTGCACTAATTATCGTGTTAGCAGAAAATACGAGTAGATTGTATTTCGGACAATAAGGTGCATTCACTTTGAAGATAACGATCGAGTATGTTTTCTAAATCCTGCGACGTCACCATCCCTATCTCCGAGTATATCACAATCCAGTCACTTGGATGTTTCGCTTTAGAGTCGTTGTTTCCAAACAGAACACGTTCCAGAAAGTGGTGTCAAGTAGGTTGACTCACATCCACACGCCCTAAAGCGAAGTGCCGAGGACAGAAAATGATATGGTCATTGCCGCTAACAGCCGAGCCACTGCCACTGGCCCACCAATCAGACCATAATGGGAGTGTTTCACTTGAGGAATGTTGCTCAAAAACATGAAGACAGTGTCAAGGTCAAAACTTATTTGGAGCCCTATTTATAAACAATATATTGATGCAATCGCAAAAATTCAGAAGACATTTTTGAAGTTTCTAATGGAATATACCAGTGGCGCAATTAGGGGGGGGCTGGGGGGCTTAGCTCCCCCAAGCTGAAGATTTTGCTCCCCAAAACTCAATGGTCACAAACATGATGGTAATGCCGCAACGCAAATTAGCCCTCCCAAATGCGATAGTTACAAAATAGTACATGCTATTAGTGCCATGTCATTACCTTATTCTTATGCCTACTACAAAGACGACTTCTTAGCTAATTCACGAAAGGGTGCATCTTATAAAACTCTTCGAAATGAACTGAAACCAGAAATCTTTCAATCAGTAGATACTTTGTTTCAAGTGGCAATAACGTTACCAGTGACGTCTGCTACGTGCGAGAGGTCATTCTCTGTTATGCGGATCATTTTGAATTGGGTCGGACATTCTAGAGGCCAAGAAAGATTTTCTGCACTTGGATTGATATTTATCGAAAAGGATATAGAAATAAATTTGGAAGACGTGATTGATAAATATGCATCTGAAAACAGAAAAATACATTTAGTGTATTAAATTTTAAGTTTTTAACCCATTTGTCTGTTGGTCCATCTGCCTGTCTGTGCACTTAGGAGGAATTTAATTTAAACGAACTTGTTCCAGTTTTTAAGTTGTTTTTAGTACCAATTTAAGTTGTTTAAGTTTTAAACGCGATATATTTTTTACTTACATGTTATGTAAGCATATTAAAATGTCTTTTATAACTTTGTTTTCTTAACTAAAAATATAGATTATATCGAAGAACAAAGTTGATAGCAGAGGATTTCCATCAAATTCAGGCATTTGTGAAATACGTACTGTAGTAAGTTTTGGAGAACATCATGTACTGTCACCAAATCGACTCATAGGGACACGGGGCTCAAGCCCCCCCCCCAACAATTAGCAAGCTAGTTGCGCCACTGGAATATACTCTGCAAGAGGTTCCGATTATACTGTCCTACAAAGCTTTTCATTTTTAATACTCGTATTTAGCTTGGAAAGTACTTTTTGATTAAATTTTTACACAAGGTTACTATTATGCCAAGGACGAAAAATCTTTGTAGTTTTTGAAATCGGCCCTGTGCAGTGGCACGTATAGGCCTGTTTGACTGTCTTGTCCGTTTAATTTCCCTATACATTTCTGTAACTAATTTTTTCTCAGATGGCTTAACCTGTTCCAACCTGAATCCTTGATGAACTGATGACGGCGTTGCGTAGTACACTCAACCTACTTGACGATTTATTTTTCTTTCTGATCGGGAGAAAGTATAAGCTGAGAAGCCCTTGGTAGACCTGTAACTGGAATATGTCTGATCCAGAAGCCTGTGGGTGTTCTGCATTATGTCTCCATAGCCTACGCTACTGTTATCAAATGCATAGATGGTGTAGTTAGCTCCCTTTTGTTCTCAGTAATAACACGGCGCGGCGGCGAGCAAACTTTCTGCGCTTTAATTTTAATGCTGTAGGTGGGTTGAGAGGGAAGGCGAGAGAGGAGGATGATGGTTAGCGGTGAAGTTCAGCAACGAACGAGGTGAATATTGCTGCTGCTGTGGAGCACTGTGCTCACCAGCATGGTCTATCTCTGCACACAATCCTCTTTGTTCCGCTAAATGTCTGCTAATTACGAAATTAGCTACTCTCCGCAACTAT